TAATCATCAGGGAAATGCAAATTAAAACCACAATGAGATATTGCCTCACATCAGTTAGGATGGCCAGCATCCAAAAGACAAGGAACAACAAATGCTGGTGAGAATGCGGAGAAAGGGGATCCCTCCTACACTGTTCATGGGAATATAAATTAATTCTACCATTGTGGAAAGCAATATGGAGGTTCCTCAAGAAACTAAAAATAGAAATACCATTTGACCTGGGAATTCCACTCCTAGGAATTTGCCCAAAGAAAACATCCCTGATTCAAAAAGACATATGCACCCCCATGTTTATCACAGCACTATTTACAATAGCCAAAACATGGAAGCACCTTAAGTGTCCATCAGCAGATGAATGGATAAAGAAGATGTGGTACATATACACAATGGAATATTATTCAGCCATAAAAAGAAAACATCCTACCATTTGCAACAATGTGGATGGAGCTAGAGGGTATTATGCTTAGTGAAATAAGACAGGCAGAGACAGACAAGTATCAAATGATTTCACTCATTTGTGGAGTATAACAACAAAGCAAAACTGAAGAAACAAAGCAGCAGCAGACTCACCGACTCTAAGAGGGGACTAACAGTTACCAAAGGGAAGGACTTGAGGAAGGTGGGTTGGGAAGGATGGAGAAGGGGATTAAGGGGCATTATAATTAGCACACACAATATGGGTAGGTCACAGGGAAGGTAGTATAGTTCAGAGATGACAAGTAATGACTTTACAGCATCTTACTATGCTGATGGACAGTGATTGCAATGGAGTGTGGAGGGGACTTGATAATATGGGTGAATGTTGAAACCACAATGTTGCTCATGTAAAACCTTCATAAGGTAGTATATCAATGATACCTTAATTTAAAAAAAAAAAGAAATCCCACCAACAGTTTTTAAGACTTCCCTTTTCTCCATATCCTTACCAACACTTGTTATTTCTTCCCATTTCAATAATAGCCGTTCTCAGAAGTGTGAGGTTATATTTTCTGGTTTTGATTTGCATTTCCCTGATGATTAATGATATTGAGCATCATTTCATATACCTGTTGGCCATCTGTATGCTTTCTTTGATAAAATGTTTACTCAGGTCTTCTGCCCAATTTTTAACTGGGTTGTTTTTCTGTTAGTGAGTTGTATGAGTTCTTTATATATTTTGGATTAGTAACCGTTATCAGATATATGATTTGCAAATATTTTCTTCCATTCAGTAGGTTGCCTTTTCTTTCTGTTGATGGTTTCCTTTGCTGTGTAAAAGCTTTTTAATTTGATTTTGTCTCATTTGTTTGCTTTTGTTTCCCTTGCCTTTGAAGTTAGATTTTTTAAAAATCAGTAAGCAATGTTAGGAAGCTTAGTGGCTATATTTTCTTTTAGGAGTTCTATGGTTTCAGTTATATGTTCTAGTCTTTAATCCATTTTGAGGTAACTTTTGTGTATGGTGTGAGACAGTGGTTGAGTTTAAGTTTTTGCATGTACTGTGCAGTTTTACCAACACCATTTATTGAGGGGTCTGTCCTTGCCCCATTTAAAATTCTTGGCTCCTTATATGTGTGGGCTTATTTGTGGGCTCTCTACTCTATTCCATTGATCTGTGTGTCTGTATTTATGCCACTACCATACTGTTTGAATTATTATAGCTTTGTGATATAATTTGAAGCCAGGATTTTAATATCTCCAGCTTTGTTCTTCTTTCTTAAGATTACTTTGGCTATTCTGGGTTTTGTGGTTCCAAACAAATTTTAGGATTATTTGATCTAGCTCTGTGAGAAAAAAATATTGGCATTTTGATAAGGATTGCAGTGAATCTGTAAATTGCTTTGGGTGGTATGGACATTTTAATATCCTAATCCATGACCATATCTTTCCATTTATTTTTGTTTTCTTTAGTATCTTTCATTGATGTCCTATAGTTTCAATATAGTTTATTTTTGTTTTCTTTAGTATCTTTCATTAATATCCTATAGTTTCAATATAAATGTCTTTCACCTTGCTTAAATTTATGTCTAGTTACTTTATTCTTTATAATGCAATTGTAAAGGGATTGTTTTCTTTGTTTCTCTTTCTGATAACTTGTTTTTAGTATTTAGAAATGCAATACATTTTGGTGTATTGGTTTTGTATCTGCAACCTCACTAAATTCATTTATTCTAATAGTTGTTTGGTGGGGGCTTTAGGGTTTTTAAATATATAGTATGATGTCATCTGCAAATATGATAGTTTACTTCTTCCTATCCAGTTTGGATGCCTTTTTGCTCTGGCTAGGACTTCCAATATGATGTTGAACAGAAGTGGTAAGAGTGAACATCCTTGTCTATTTTCTGATCTTAGAAGAAAGGTTTACAGCTTTCCATTGATGAGTATGATGTTAGTTTATGGGTTTGTAATATATGGCCTACATTAACTTGAGGTACCTTTCCTTTATATCCCCTTTGTTGAGAGTTTTTATTATGAATCATGTTGAATTTTGTCAAATGCTTTTTCTGCATCTATTGAGATGATCATCATTTGTATCCTTTTTTTAATGTGGTCTATGATGTTGACTGATCAGTGGATGTTGAACCATCCTTGCATCCCTAGAATAAGTCCCACTGGGTCATGGTGTATGATCCTTTTAATATATTGTTGAGTTGGGTTTGCTAATATTTTGTTGAGGATTTTGCATCTGCTGTTATTGGGGATATTGGCTTATAATTTTCTTTTTTGTGGTCTCCATGTCAGGTGTTGGGGTCAGCATAATGCTGGCCTCATAAAATGAGTTTCAAAGAGTTCCCTCCTCTTCTAATTTTTAGGAGTTTCAGAAGAATTGGTATTAATTCTTCCCAAGTGTTTGGTAGAATTCACTTTCCAGGCTGTCTGGTCCTGGACTTTTGTTTTAGGGAGGTTTTTGATTACTGATTGAATCTTTTAACCAGTAATTGGTTTGTTCTGTTTTATCATGATTCAATCTTAGTAGGGTGTATGTTTTGTATATTTCTAGGAATTTATCCATTTCTTGTAGGTTGCTCACATTGTGGGGATACAGTTTTTCTTAGTAATCTCTCATGATCCTTTGTATTTTTGTTACATCAGTTGCAACATCTCCTCTTTCATTTCTGACTTTATTTTCATCCTCTCTCTTTTTCTTGGTGAATCTAGCTAAAGACTTGACAATTTTGTTTATCTTTTCCAAGAGCCAGCTCTTAGTTGCATTGATCTTCTCTATTGCCTTTTTAGTCTCTCTCTCATTTATTTCTGTTCTAATCTTCATTTCCTTCCTAAATGGATCATTTTCTTCTGTACTCCAGATCCTGGAAAAGTTACAAAGTGAAAGCTTTGGGTTTTTTTCTCACAGAAGTGTAGTCCTGGTGGCAAGCACAGAGTGTACATTTTGGGATTAATAAGTAGAAGAATCTTTGGGAATTTAGGGCAGGAGAAGTTCACTCTAAAATAGTATTGACCAGGGAAGACTTTCTGAAGTGTGTGGCATAGTGAATTAATTATATTTTAAAGCATGTGGTATTCAGATAGAACAAGAATAGTTTACTCTGTGGAAACTTACCTTTGCTTTTAAAAGGAAACCCTACTAAGAACCTGGGGTTACCATATGCCTTTTAATATTACTTATGGGCTGTTTTGAGATGGGGAGCTCAGAGGGAATTTCCCTGCTCTTAAAGAAGAGGATGGAGGCATTGTTTATCCTACCTCCTATTCTCAGAGTATATCCCTGAAAGGAGGGAATCTTCTCTTGAAAAGTTTAGGTCAGTACTGTCATCAATCTTAGGTTGGTTAGGAGCCTATTTTTTCCCCCTAAGTTGAACAGCAAAGAACACTACTTAATTCAGTATTTTTAAAAGATTCCAAATTCTTATGGATAAAAATAGCGCTGGTGGTTACAAGTACTCAGCTGACATTAAAAGAGTTATCAGTCTTGCTATGGGAAACAAGATGACCAATAACTAGTTTCAGAAAATCTACTTCTCCCATTACAGTGATTAGTTAATAAAATTATTCCTGACAGTGGTGGGCCAAGAAATGTAGTTAGTTACATATTCAGAGACAGAGAACACATTGTCCAAAGATCTCAGAAGAGCCTTTGCAAACACACAGAAGGAATTTAAAACAATTTGCATAAACCTCCCCATGGATAGTGACATGGCTCCAGTATTGGGGTGGTTCCAGGAACCCCCTCCTTGGCTGTATCATGGGGTGACGCTGGTCTTGGTGAGCATTCAGTCTCATGACGGTTTTTGCCAGCAGGATTGGGTGATGGGACTCTGAATAAGCCCACTGTTTGGTTTCACATAAGGACTCTTTTGTGTTGGCCTGGGGCAGCCATGTTCAAGTTTGACTTGCTTTTTCCCCAATGATGTTTTTGGACCTTGTGGGCTGAAGAATTAAGCACAACACCTATTCTGAGTTAATCCATCAGATTTTGCTCTTGAAAGGTAACCATAGCCCCTTGTATTTCTAAAATGTGGAGAATAATAGTCATACCTTTGGAGACTTCTAATTTCTTAAATTAAAAGTCAGGGAGAGGAGGGACTTTGGCATGCCCAGATAGATGTAAATGGTGAAACTATGGGAAATAATTCTTTTCTATTGGTTAATATGATTTGCCTTGTTTACTAACTTCTTTAATAACTATGTTCTCTGGTAGAGTTAACAAACAACTTATACTTTAATATTTAATATTCCCCTATGAGAAGGCATGGGGCACTTGAGTATAGTTTAAAAATGCCTGGTGGGTTACAAATTTGCTTCAACTTTTTTTTCTTCTTCCCTTTGAGAAAAGTGATATATATTAAACACTGCATATTAGGGGCTTTACTGATTGTTGCATACAGAATGTTCTGAGTCTAATTTAAAGTCCAGGGATAGTTTAAGCACTGGGGAAAGTTGGTGCTTTAAGTGTAAAAATGAAATCTACTAATTTCTAACCTGGAGTTTATTTTCTTTCAGTCTGCTAGTTTGATTTCTCAGCTTTGTTCTAATAACATAAACATCTTTATGTTTATTTATAGGTGGCTTTAACGAAGAGAGCAGATCCAGCTGAGCTTAGAACAATATTTTTGAAGGTTGGTATAAAGGAATCTATTTTATTTCTTGTTTGATTTGTTTTCTCTACCTTTTAAAGATTATTTTTAAGCAGCTTTTATTTCATTGTTGTATCTGTTAAAATTCCTCCCAAGTATCTCCACTTAAGTCTTAGGATAGCGTTCCTTTACAATTACATATGTTTTTGAAAATGTATCAGAAACTTGTAGGAGATTGTTTGTGATAGCAGCCTGGTTTACATTTTAGTTTCTTTTATCTCACGTGGTGTCAGTTACTGAAAGGGAGTTGCTGGTGGATTTAGTCTTGTAGCCCATTTACTTTACCCAGATAGTCCTGTGCAATTTGATGATAATGCTTTTTTTCCTGAGAAGTTTAAAGCTGTTTGTAAACATTTCATTAATCCTTCCTTCATTCAGAGGGGACTGTCCTCATCTCTTCTTGGTAGAAGTCCATCATTGCTGCTGTTGTTACCATTATTGACATCATTGTAGTACACCTTGGTGCCCAGTGAGGAGGCTTCGGTATGAGTTACGGTAGATAGTAGTTAACAGCACATCCCATACAAGTTTATGTCCTTCGTTTCTTATGCTTTCACCTACTTTCTGACATTGGTCAATGAATGATTAACACTCCAGTAAAAGTCTACCTCACGTCCTCAACACTGAATCATTTTTAATATTAGTCAACTGGAATTAAAGTACTCAAAGAAAAGGCCACTTTTGTGAAGACAATGTAAAAAGTATATATGTGGGCCTTTTCTAACCATGATAAAAAGGCAACTGTGCTGTGCATAAAGAGGACCAAGCCTTCAAATAAGAAACTTACTGTTCTATTGCTGTGTACCAAATATATGGCTTAGAAAGTTATTAATTCTGTAAGCATCATTTTCATTATCAAAATATTCTATTAAAATTTTGAGAGATCAGGGAACTTGAGCACTGACAGGCTTATTTGATATTTAGAAATTGTTAATTGACTTTTAAACTGGATAGTGGTATTCTGATTATGGAAACTAAAAAGAATCTTCTTTTCGTAGAGATATACACTGAAGTATTTACACATGAGATTGGGATGTTTGAGATTTGCTTGTATATAATCCAGTTTTGATGAGGTAGGAAAAATGAGTTGGCAATATGATGATAATTTTTGACATTGGGAAATAGACTATTTGTTTTTTTATATATACTTCTTTCTCTAGTTTGTATATGCTTGAGCATTTTCTTAATAACTTACAAATAATTATAAAGATGCAAGGAAACAAAAATACCTGAAAGTGTCCAGCATCTGATAAGCATTAGACACTGAGTTAGTAAATTCTTGAAATTAAATAATGCAAACACAAGAGAGACAGAGTCCAAAAGAAAATGGTAAAAAATGTGAGTACTTATGTGGGGAAGAGAAAAGGATAAATTTGTAAAGAATTTTGAATTATGTATTTAAGAAACCAGCATTCCTTATAGATTTGTTTTTAGCCCAGAAAGGATAGTACAGTATGAAGATTGTAAGGTGGAAAAGGCTTCTGAATAATGAAAATCCAGAAAACAGAAACACTGTGTTTCTCATCTAGGCTAGTGTCTTTTGTTATGCATTTTAGGGGCTCACCATGATTGGGATAAGATGTGTATGAGAGAACCATAGATGTTTTAGTACATGTACTGCAGGTCTATACTGTAAAACTAGTGATATAATTCTGGAAGACAGGTCACTTAAGGAAGAGCACAAGAGTGCATTATCAAAGAGCATAGAGAAATGGGTACAGCTCATTAACTTGAACTGGTAAAGTCATTGTCATTCTTTGAACTCAGGACCCACCCATTTACTTCTTTTCTCTAAACCAGCAGAAGTTGGAGGCATCCTTCTAATAGGAAATGGGAATAACTTAGAGTGTCTCAATAGATGGTGCATCTTGGATACTTACTGACCATTTGGATCCATTTGATCCAGTGGAAAGATTCCAGGAGAAGCTATGTCCACCTTTTGAGGCCTCACAGCAGCTTGTGAGGTTAGTTAGATTAAAATCCTACTTTGGAACAGTATGTCATTTCCAGCTGCCACATCTCAGCAGCAGGCAAGTCTAGACTGGAGACAAATTGGATTGGGCAGGTAGCCCCAGGGAGAGTGGGAATTCCATGCAGAGTTCTGGAGAGCCACTTGTGGGGTTTCTGTGTAAGTGGGCCCGAGGGCTCGGGTGGAATCTTTGGGACCAGATAGGGAAGTGTTCTCTTCCCTGGCAATAACTAGAACTTTGTGCCTTTTGAGTAAGAGTTCTGCGTGACTGAGAGTCTGAGGGAATGATGTGGGGGGAATCATCTCTGAAGAAAACTGATCAGTTTCTTGGAAGGGCTTGTGGATCTGGCAAAGGTTCAGGTGATGTTGTCAGGCTTGGGCAGTCTGTTACTGACACAAATCCACCTTGGCTCAGAATGCTGAGGATCTCTTGTTTACCGTCTACCACAGATGGCGTTGTGGTGGGGGAAGAATAGGGAATGTGGCACCGTGAGGGCTGTCCCAGGCACATCTCCACAGTGGCTGGGCTTTTGAGTTTAAAGTATGGGTCAGCAGTAAGTACTCTGTGAACCCGACTAATTGCTGATTTTCTGTGACCGTTCCCTAACTTTCTTCCTAATAAATATCCCAGCCTTCTCTCTGTGAAACTAGTGAGAGGTTCTTCTGTAGTTTGAGGGAGCTGGAGAGAAGCTTCATTGTACCCCTTGGCCCAGAGGTGCTAGTCATAGGGGAGCTGGCACCTGTGGATACCAGAGGGAGCCAGTGGAACTGAGACAGGTAAGGAAAGAGGAGACCTGGAGTCTAAAGTGGGCCCAATTCTGGCATATTTTATGTTTTTCAGAAGAGTTAAAATCAATTCCACTTTTTTTCATTTTTTTGGAGTTGCTTACTGTATGTTAAGTACAGTGTTAGGTATTGGGGATATAAAGATACATCATGGCTCCTGCCCTTAGCTATCTGTGTGGTGTGTGTGTGTAAGTGTAAAAAAAAAGCCATAATATAGTTGATAAGCATTATATAGCATTAATTAACAGGAAGATGATGTGAGACTAATTATATCTTCCCAGAGAGGGTCATCAAAGTTATAGAGAGGTAGTAATATTTGAGTTGGGTGTGAAGATGGCTAAGTATATTTCAGATGGAGAATGCAGAGGAGGGTCATGAGGGGCAAGGAAGACTATTCCAGGCAAATGAAACAGCATGTGCAAGTCAAAGAACTGTAAGAGTGCCAGGTGTGCAAGGTGGCCTGGAGCATAGGTGGTTGGGCAGTGGTACTGGAATGGTTGGTAGGGAGGAAATATTTCTAGCTTAAGGCGTTTACATTTTCTTATACAGATTGTTCTTATGATAAGTGGTAGGTAACATAATGTTTTGTTGGATGTGGAAATTGACATCTAAGTGTAGTCAGATTTGTTTTGAACCTAAATGTTGACTTATATTTTTTGTCTGCTCAATACTTCTGCTGCTGCTTCATGTTAATTTAAACAGATGTGTATTGAGTGCTTATAGTTTAAATAAAACAGTTAAAACAGTGTGAAACTTTAGTGAGTGGATATGCAAAATAGGCATAAGCAATGACCATGTCTTAAAGGAGTTCAGATTCCATACAGGAGACCAGATTTACAGACAAACAGCAGATACAAAGGAAGACAGGTCAGTGTATTCAAGGATCCCGCCTGTCTGGAAGGAAATGGAAGAAGAGAGCACCCCGTATGGTGGGGAGTTCTCAGAGGGGGCTCCTTGGAAAGGAAACCTGAGGAGCCTCTGGAATGGGCAGGAACCGGAGAAGGGCACCACATTCGAGGGAGGGCCTGAAAATGGGTTTGGGAGCAGTTTCTCCAGGTTGAAGGATTCTTGCTAATTCTTTACATTTATTTAAGTTTAACCCGTGCCAAGGAGTCTGCCAAGGATTTCAGGGTGTGTGTGAAAAGTTGGAAAGATAATTGAGAGTTTGGCATTTCAGCTCAACAGTAGGAAGCTGTTGAAGGTTTTCTGAGTTTTCCGGTGGCAGGAGAGGACAGGTTTGAGATTTGATTGGTACAGCAAGGCCATGAGTTAGGCAGCCTTGGATGTAATACTGCTGTGAGGGCCTAGTAACTTGATTAAGATTGTGGCAACAGGGGAAATGGAGAATGGGCAAGTTAAGGACATTTTTAAGGACTATTTGACGAAAATGACTGGTCTTTTATAATGGATTAGAGAGAGCTAGGGGTAAATATGACCACTGGATATATAGCCTGGGTCCAGGAAGGTGCCAGTAATAAGGATGGGGAAATTGAGAAGGAAACCATTTGCTCAACGGAAGGCAAAAGAGGTGACGGATATTGTTTAGAGGTATATAGCTCTGGGAGGAAGGGGGTTCCCTGTTCTGAGCAAGTTCGCTATGAATCTCAGAAGGAAAATGAGGGTGGGTGAGAGGTTGGGGAAAGGTTTTTTATTTCTAATGGCTCAGTGTCTCTTCCACACGTTCCTCTGGTGTGGTGCTCTCTGCTCTCTCTTGATGGGCTCTGCTAGCAAGCTCCTTCCCTCCAGCGTCTGCTGGCGCTCTGCTTCCCCCTTGCCCCTTCCTCTGGGAGGAACTATGTGGGAGGGTCCCTGGTGACTGGCAGATGCCTCACCAATTAAGTACCAGGAATGGAGTGGAGGAGAGAATGGGTGCTTCCTCTTCACCCCATGCCCCCAGGGCATAAACATCACATTGATGTGCAAACAGGCCTTTATATGCATAGCACTATTGAGGCCAGGTGAGAAATTTGGGTTGAAAACTTCCATTTACCCAACAAGGTATAGAGCCCAAAGAAACTGAATGCCTGTAGTGCAGGGTATGGAAGATGGGAATACTGGGTAAAAGGCCTGGACACAGGAAATAGGCCATATTACTCATGGTAATAGTAACACGCGGTGAGTTAGTTGCACTTGGGTTTTTATAACTATTCTGTGTCATCAAAAGCATAATATATATATTCAAAATTTGTAGGCAAAATTGGAAAAAGTTAATTCCTTTCTTGGAAAA